GGGACAGCAAAACCCGCGCGAGGGCGGACACGGACACAGCGACAGAACAGCAGCAATTCCCACACGACGGGGCTATGTACAGGGGAGGGCACCGGGCTGCCCCCGGCGCGGGGACACTCCAGGGCCAGGGGAGACACATCCCTGCTTCCTCCTGCAGGCCAGCGCGGAGAGGGAGGGAGCGGGCGCTGCAGCCGACCCGGGCAGCTCCCTGCCCGCTCTCGAGCTCTGCAGGCCTCAAAGTGCAGCCGGGCCGGTGACCGCGGGGTGCTGAACTGCAGTGTCATTAACCTGCCCCCGCTGCTGGCCCCTGCTGCAGCCTCATCCCAGCAGCGCTGCCCGGTCAGTTTGACACAGGCCAGGCCCGGGCAGCGCGCGGCTTGGAGCCGTCTGCCCTCCTCTTCCTCCTGGCCATGGAGGAAGCTGTTGACTTCTGGCTGGGCCAGGCAGACAAGAGATCTCACTATGGTTCCTGGAAAGCTCTGAAGTAGCTGGAAACTAGGGGGTACAGAGCAGGGGGCAGATGAAAATATTCCTGAAAGTCAGAGGTTGAGACATGACTCCAACACCATCAGCAGAGCACATTCCTCTACCCCAGGGCTGGTAATGATTCCACATTCCTCCTCACTGCAATTTTGGCCACGTTACAGCTTCGACACTATTTCAGCAGTGAAATGGCTACCACGCGCGTCCCCCTCACCCCGTGGCCGGCTAGGAGGGGCGAGGAGCTGGGATGCAGGGCAGGATTTCACTGAGCAGCAACCTAGATGGGAGGTAAAACCGGCCCTCACTGATGCTCTGCCTGCTGCAGGTGAAGAAGCTCCCAGCCCAGTGAAGAGGAACAGGAGACAGGACGGGAACCCTAACAGCACCAGTGATGCCCAGGGCAGATGCTGCCACTGTAGCGAGGATTTCTAGGGGGCTGTTTGCCTTTGCTGTCAAGGGATAGGACCAAGGTCCACACAAACTGCCCTCAGGATCTCTTCCCACTCAGCCTCACACTGCCTCTCTACCCTCTCCTCCGCCACACAGGCAACGCACCAACATCCTCAGGAAGGTGGGAAGAAATTCCAGGTGAAGAGAGCAATCTGTGTGGGATGTCTCTGCCACAGGAATGGGAGCAACCAGGCCCAAGCTATGAGAGTTGGGAGGTTTCTAGTGTTTTGTGTCACATGAGGGGCTGAGCGTAGGGCAAACCTTCCAAGGTGAGCACGAGTTAGCCAAGACCATCCGCAGAGAGGAGAAATGGAGCAGCTAGTACTAGCGTGTGCGCCCTGCAGGAAGCAAAGCCTAGAAACAGATCAGCTGCACTGTCAAAAAAAGGCAAGGCCAGGTCAGATTGTGACTAGGTAAAAGGAGTGGTCATTGAAAAGAGCAAGTAGGGATGCAGGACAGAATGAGGCTGCTGGAGTTGATGGGGAGGGAGTTAAGATGCAAGGCAATGAGGAAGGGGGAAAGCCCACCCCCAAACTTTGCTTTTCTTTTCCCTAACTTGGTGCTTGGTGACTTTTTCATTGCATTCATAAAAAGATATATCTGAGCAGAGAGGCTCAAAGTGAGGAAGGAGAGAGAAAGATAGAGAGAGAGAGAGTAAAGGGCACTACAGTGCCAAAGTGCAACAACATAAAAAATAAAATTGAAAGACAGGACACTCATTCTGCACTCAGGGCTCGTACCATGCAGTAAGAAGGGCGGCCGGGGCTGCTCCCCACCAGTAAAGAGGGAGTTCACTCGCTTAGTAGGTTGGTTTTCAGCCCCCGAAGTAGGTTTGCCTAGGCAATGAGCAGTGATGTTCTTCCGTGAGACTGGCCGGTTCCGGCAGGGGGTGTAAGAAGGCCCAGCCGCTCTCCGTTACTGGCTGCTCGGGAGGTTTCTCTAGTTTGATGTCAATCACTGGAGGAGAGGAGTTAAGGAAGTCGCCCGGTTCAAGAGAAGGCCAGGAGAGCCTGGGGGAAGTGATGCCTCGGCCTTCTCTGGGTGCCACAGGCAGACCAGGCTTCAAAGAGAAGTCAAGCTTCCAATTAGATGATATTTCCCTGCCATCCAAACACTTTAAACACAGCCTTGATGCTGTTGGCCCTAACATACGGAAGGGCCGCTATTATCAATTTGTTTAAGGGTGAGGCAGAACTGAAGGATTGATTACACTTGCCACTTCTGATACTGGCTGAACTGCCTCAAACAGCAAGTGCTCCTCCTGCTCCAGCTCTCGGCCTGGCATATTTTGCCAATTGTTAGTTTGAAATAAGCTGTTTTGGAAACATGGATACTATGGATTTCATCTAGCCTTTTATACAAGCAAAATATGGCAAATTGCTGCCACAGTCACTTGCATGCTCTGTGACTAGGTGCATGTAGCATGCAACGCACTGCAGGAGTATTCAGTGGTTACAATGACAGTCCTCCTGGTGAGGATGACTATGGCCAGAAGTCACGGATCTGACTTCTTAGCCTGTTTAGAGTTGCTATGAAAATAATTTAAAAAGCAAAACAAAAACTGAGCTGAACAGATTGTTAACAGTTAAAACCAATGCAGTAATTATCTCCTACAATTTTTAAAACTTGTCAGCTGTCCGTTCTTGGTAAGTGCAGATGCTCTAGCAGAACAGCACGTACCTTGCCTGAAGAGGATGATTAGTAAGAGTAGTTGATCAGGTATGTCAGGACAGCACACAGGGCTACCTTGGAGCAGTATAAAACGAGGAAAATCCCAGGGCATTCTGAAACTACGCAAATTTTGTCCTTAGACAAGGTTAAGGGGAGAAAGCAAAACTTGCCCTTGCAGTTATAAATTGAAAGTAGGGTCTTAACCTGTATCCACAGGTAACCACACTGTACCAGCCGTTCCAGCCACGCGTCTGCGAAAACCCCGAACACCGATACACACCGTGCACCAAACAGGTGACAAGTGCAACCTGACAAAAAGGTAATTGCCAAATTCTACAAGAGGAGGAAAGTTATTGAAAACAAAGCAAGGATACTGTCCTCTTTGCTCTTCTCTGGTGTGCTGTCCATGCCAGGCAAAGCAGCAGCCACACGACGGAAAAGCTGAAAAGTAACCACAGGTAAATGGAAACCTTGTTAGTAAGATTGCATATTAAAAAAAAAAACAATACAAAAAAATTTAGTGTCAGAATTTTATAGACTTGTTACATGGGCATTTTGGCAAGAAAAGCAATGATCAGCAAATGCCACAAGAATTCTACCCAAGATCTTCGGGTAGATACCTGAGATAGAGCCAAGATATTCTACACAAGGTTAATAACAAAATGATTGGAGTTACCACATGCCTACAAGCAGTTTAATCTGTTGCTACTTAAAGAAAAACGCCACGTTGACGCTGTAGTCGTGGTTCTAGGTGTACTGCACAGTGCAGTTCTCAGGGCTCAGGAAGCAGGTCAGACACTGCACGTGCCCATTCCCAGCCTCAGCACCCAGCAATGTTACACTGTGCACCCCAGGGGCTCTGATAAGCAGCCTTGCCACAGGCTGGAAGTTCATACGTTGAAGAATAGCCCAGCATTTTAATTCAGGCCACCCTTGCTGTCCCGCTTCGCAGTGGTCACCCACATGCAGAATGACTGGCTCAAGTGAGCTGCATCCAAGCTAAGAAAGATTTGCTGGAGCTAGGAAGGACTATCCTATCCCCATATAAAACACAGTGCTTTTGTGTCATTTTTCAAGTTGATGCCTAGAGCTCCTCCTGCTGACACTAAAGCAGCAACAAACACAAATGAGAGAATGCCAGAAATGTCTGGTGGAAGGAGCTGTAGAAAGCTGTGTTTTTTGCTTGGAAAACTAGAGGAAGGAGACTGACTAGAGCCAGCCAGTGATGCCCTTTTTCAAAGTACTTTGGCAAGGACTTGTCATCTAACATCAGAAACTGTATTACAGGGAAAATCAAACCACTGAAGTACCAACGACCTGCCTTATTGCCTAAATTCTGTCATGCTCAGAACAAAAGTTTCCTGAACTAAAAGGGAGGAGCAGTAACTCAAGCTCACAGCAAGAAGCAATGGGCAAAAGTAGAAACAGAAGAATAGGAAACTCCAACTATTCTATGGTTCTATGTTTTTCCTACCAGGCTTGAAAACAGAATCAGGAATTTCTACTCCGGTGCATGAGCATATGCTGTTAGCCTGGCTGCTGTCAACACTCATTTTAGAGAACACTGCATTAGCTGTTCACAAAAGCAAAGGGAATGTACAGAATTATGTTTGACATGCTGTACTATATAGTGACATTCCTGTCCCTCAGCAAATTCCATTTTTAGATTCTCCTTCCTTTTAAGGAAGGAGAAGTGTGCTTAGCTTTAGCAGTAGCACTGGTCACTAGGCAAGAGGGATTTCAGGACCTGAGAAAGACAACAGGTAATATCTGCTGCAGCATGAACTGTAGGCAGAAACTTATCCCTCCTCTCTACAGAACAGTGAAGTACAGATTTACATATCTTTAAAACATAACATAGATCTACCTGTTTCACGTTGTATCCAGTCTTTGCACTGGTCTCAATAAACATCACATTCAGCTCTTTGGCTCTTTGTTCACCTTCTTCTGTAGTGATTTGCCTGGACAAAGGAGCAAAGAGAAGCAGAAAGACACAAGAGAGGGACAGGAACAATTAGAGACAGTTGTGTCTGAGACACTTTTCAACAGAGGGCCTCTTCACCACCCGTTACAAGAGCGTACAATGAACAAACAGGGACGTCAGGATCTTTAAGATCCCCAAATTCCTCATTAGATCCCAGCAAGGAAGGAAACAATCTCAGGTTAGTAGTTCAGGGAACACCTGGACTATGCCCATTAATAAAAGGATCAGCAGCGGAGGATGCAGTTTGCGTAGTACATTTGAGTCTCATTCACAGCACCCTCAAGGGAAAAGAAGAATCCCCATGAGCTGCACCTGATGCGAAAAGCAGTTTCCCAAAAGTCAACAGGAGCGAACTCTGTGAGCTTATAGACAGAAGTCAGAAAGGCTCCAGCAGCAAGAACAGTGCAAAAGCAAGAGCTGTGCTGCTGTCTGTGGGACAGCACCTGCAAATGCGCCGCTCCTCAGTGCCCTGTACATACCTGTTTCACATTATATCCTGCTTTAGCACTGGGTTCAATATACATCATATTCAGTTCTTGGCTTTTCTGTCACCCTCCTCTATAGAAACCTGTCTACAGCAATGAGAACAAATCACAGAAAAGAAAAACCAAAACAAAGAAAGAAAGTCCAAAAATGATAAAAAGAAAAAAAAGTAGAAAAAAACTGTGACAAACTGAAGTAATATTAGCAGGAAAGCTAACCTTAACAGGGTGTGCCAAATAAAAGCAGTGCTATTACCAGTTAAACCCTTCAACTGTGTTTGATAGAACTTAACTTTCGCCATCATTTGGTCTTTACCACAGGACGAACAGTTTCTTGCAGACTCTACTAAATTTCAGAAAACACAATCAATTTCGTGACTGATGCATGGTTTGCCTAGCCTTAAAAGACCCAGTATTCGTATTGTTATGAATCGCTTTTAAAAGCAAGAACCCAGAGGCAAGACAAGGAGGCTTCTTTCAGTGAGAGTTTGTGCAGAGTGAACACACGCCCTAACTTAAGTTCCAGGCCAGTCCAGCACTACTGCCACTTACATTAATACTTCTACAACAGGAATGCCTGTTATATATATAAGTGTATATAGCTACAATACCAACAAGTCTCTAGTTGCCTTATTCTTATGGCAATGCTGGACAATTCTGCACCCCTGCCCCAACCTGCACGACAATTTAAGGCAGCAACTACCTTCCTCCCCTGCTTTTTTTTTAATTTATATATATATATTTTTATTATAAAGCCTCAAATCTCATCTCCAGGTCAGTCAGTCAGGAAGCTGTAGTTATCCCCAGCTCCCAGAAGGGCATAAGAGATGCTACCCAAGCTGACTGAATTAGAATAGCCTCTCAGATTCTGCTCAGTTGATTTTATAAGCTGATTTTGAGAGTTGACCAGAGTGTTCTGAATTTTTATCAGAAGGATTTCTTAATCCAAGCCACTCACACATTTACCTACTTATGAAGCTCTAAACACTACATTTTCCCCAAATTTCTCAAGTGCTCTGCACAGGATACTTAGAATGGCCTCTGTTGGAATTGGGGAAAGCCAAATAGTTGTCCAGCTGGTAAACACAAAACCCATTTCCCTACGTATGAGCAGCACAAAGACCACACGACACTCAGTATCTAGCTTCATTTTCCTCCCCATTTCCGCGAACCACGTACCAGAAATAGAACTGCCTATACTTTTCCTGCTAGACAAAGCAAACTACAAACTAACAATGTGGCTTGTACAGAGACAAAGGATGAAGAACAATGGTACTAATTTGGGCAGCCCAAAATGCTGGATATTCTCTCTCACTTGAGTAACACCAAAACCACAGGGGGAAAACAGTGACAGCACATTTTGAAGCAATATTTTCATACTAGGAGTAAAATAAGGTTTAGAAATTAAAATGTGACAGCACCTGACAACAAACAAGCAGATCCCTATTAAGACTCATCGTGCCATGAAACAGGGAACAAACGGGCAACTCAGGTATCAGGGCATTTTTTGATAAAGCTTTTAGATTCCATCTGTAAGACTTTTCAGACTGTCTTTCAATCAGAAGTGTGTCATGAACCGCCAAAGGTTATGCTTTTGATTTTCTAGAAGTATTTAACTGTGAGATTCCATTTCCCATTTCTGCCTTTATTATACCTTTTTTTTTGTGACAGTTAAAAAAAATTCTCATTATTTCAATGCTTCCTATGTTCTACATATTAAACCATACAGTTTATAGAGTAACTGGCATATCTGAAATGATTCAGTTCAAAGGACTGGGTTTGTAAGGAATTGTGTGACTTATTCTCATCATTCCTTTGCCAACTGTTACTGAAGCTAACCACCAATATGAAGACTTCCTCAGTCTGTAGGACTGAGAGGTTTAAAACTAAAATGCTCTGACATCTCAAAACAGTGAATCTCTGTGGCTTTAAAAAATTAATATACTTCTCCCATCTCTTGGGGAAATCACTAATCTAGCTTCCCATCACACTTCATAGTACCAGTTTATGCTGCATGCAACCAAAAAACTATGCTCAGGTTGAAACCTTCTAGATGCATACTACTACATTGTCATGTTGTATTTTATAACAAGAGAAAACTTTATTATAATATTTTAGATTTGCAGATGCAGAAAGAGTCATGTAAATATGACCATGGGAAAAAAGCATTGCTTTTGAAGATATCTTGCTAGTTTTCTCTCAGCACAAAAAGAAAAAAAGAGATACTCTATGAGAAAGATGGCATAGAGAGATATTTAAGTATCCCTCTAAGCAAAAAAAAAAAAAAAAAAAAAGGCTTGTTATATCATATACTATTTGTAGAACAACAGAACAGAATAATTTTGCATATTCTGACATCAGAAATCCAAATATCATTACAAGCTATTTATACTTCTTGCTTTTAAATACAGACAAGTTGGCCAGTTCCCCATTCTACCGTGATGGCAAAAGGACCAGAGCTCCCCATCGTTACCTCTTGTCTGCCAGGTCAGTTTTATTCCCCACCAGCATGATGATGACATCGCTTCCTCTCTCTGTTCGAACATCATCAATCCACTTGGAGGTTTGCTGGAAAGAATTCAAATCTGTAGGGGCAAAGCAAATTGAGAATGCTGAGGATAAATTTCCTTCCAAGTGAGGAGGAATGCTTATGAAAGTGGCCATGCCTCTAACCCATGCGTTTCTCCGAGTCTTCCCACACCACATAAAACAACGTACAGATCTACCCAGATAGAAAAAAAAGGGAAGAAAGGAGAAAAAAAAAATCAAACTGTTTCTAATGTTAATTTCTGCAGATCTTCTGGCTGTGATATACCAGTTCTGCTTACATGTAGTACTCGAAAATAATGAGACACCAAAGCATCACTCACTTGTAATGTCATAGACTACCACAGCAATGGTGGAGTCGCGGATGTAGCTGGGAATGAGACTGCGGAACCGCTCCTGGCCTGCTGTGTCCCAAAGCTGCAGCCGAACCTGCTGGTACCAGGCCAGGGAGAGCAGAGAGACAGCGAGAGAGAAAAGAAAGCAGGAAACTGTCCTTTAGAGAAAAGGCCATTTCTGGAATTCACTGTGTGCAGCTCAACCTGAGAAGCTGAGACTGACCTTGTCAGCTTGCTCCCAAACACCCAAGAGGCACAGAGCTGGCTTCGCTGGGTGCCAGTTTATACAAAATGTGTTTTCATTATCTCCTTTGTTGCCTAGAGAATCTGCCATTCCCCCGGCCACCACATCCCTAAGAGCTCTACGGTGTGGCTGCCACCCCAATTAGCGCTGCTAGTGCTGGCTAACGAGCAATGGGAGCTGCTCTTCCTCACCAGGGACTACGTATGGCCTCCCAAAGCACTCCCAACATACAGGCTCAGGTCAAAGCTCTCAGGGCAATTCCCACCTCAGCACAGACACAGTAGCAAAAGAGCATCCAGAAGGTGGTAATGGGGATTTTCACGCAAGATTAAGGTGATCAATAACTTAAGCTGCAGCAGAAATAAAAGCAAATGCTGCAGACTGAAGGCCCCATGAGACACAAAGGACACTGGTGCCCCCTTTCACATAAGGGCAAGAATTGGAAACAGGCATCAAAATCTGTACGAAAGAGATGCCATTTGATCTCCAGCACCAGATCTACGCCCAAAATACAAACTGAGTTTTTATATGATAGCTCTAAAGTCTAAAGGTTTATTTCTCTTCTTTCACATATCTTCTGATCCACATGAACATCTTGTGAATGCACTAAAGTAATAACAATTATTATATCCACACAATGCTGGAAGTTGTTATTTGAAACAGAAATGGTGGAAAAACATCCAGTTACCACAACAAATGCTAAACAAAAGCTTTTAACCATGAGTAATTGGGATCAATGCCATCATCCAAGTGGTCATTCCACACAGCTGGCTGTACTAGTGCTATGGTCAGAAAGAAAGATTGCTATTAACATAGTGAGTGGCCACAAGTTTCAAACAAGGGTGGATATTTGCTCCCAAAATAATCCATCTGGATTATATGAATTAAATAAGACGTTCTCACAAAGCTATGAGACATTCTCACTCAGCCATGAAGGACAGGAGCTTTTTATGTTTACAGCATCCGTAAAATGGGAGCTTGCAGGAGACTTTTGTATACGAGAAAGTTGTTTAAGAAGGACCAAGATTTATTTTGCTTGGAAGAGAAATTTAAACAAAAGCTGGGCAGAGCACATGTCTGCAAAGCACCCTGCTACAAACACATGCAAAACAACATATATCTACACCTGAATATCCACACTGCTGCCATCAGTGTTCAGTACAATTAGAGCTTATAGCTCCAGCAGTTAGTTCGTATTAATTGTTCTCTACATTTTGGAGACAAATTTGATTTATCAGCAAGACGCAGGGCTCTTCAGCACCCCAGGAAAAAGCAGAGCAATGAACTCCTAGCACATGGACAATATTACACCAGTGCTGGCAGATCAGATCAGCCTATGCACCCACAGAGTTTACCCAGCTTGAAGTTCAAATGCTCCAAGCTTCAGATGCATGGTCAAAATTGCAGCTAACACAAGTATTACAGACTTGAAGAAAAGCTGATGATCTGGCAGTGAAGGGCCAAGGGAAATCTATTCTGGAGGTACTACAAAGACACCCAGAAGAGACCCAGGAATGAAAGTCAATGCTCCCTTGCAGGAGCAGTCCTCCTACAATGCTCCTTTAGCCTCTGATTTCTAGAAGTCAAAGTTGTTGCACAGCTGTTTTTTGGAGAGAAAAAATACAACCCTCCCAAAGTAGATACCTTGCCAATAAGATAAGAATAAAACCACCTCACACTGCTTTATGCTTATGCTGAAAGTTCTCAATCAAGAACTAAGTACTGAAAGTCTATGAATACAGATTTTTATAATGGTATAGAAAACTAAATCCACAAGCATGTTGTGAGATTTAAAAGCCTCTCACTGGCTAAGAAGAGACAAAAGAGTAGCAACAAGAAATGCAGGAACAGTCTGATCTTTTCAGATAATTTCAAGGCATGATGAGATCAGCCATCCCTAAATCATTTCTGATAGGTCTGGAAACTTAAAGAACAGCCTAGACTGATGGATTCTTCAAACTGTCTGGGTAAACAGCATGCTTTACCTGCCTGACAGAGGCACAAAAAACACCAACTTCTATTGCCGGCCACTCTGTCACATCTAGATCTGTTCCCCAAAATCATTCATGTGCACATCTTGTTGCTCCTCAATTCCCAAGCAGACCAGTTTTGTATTTTTTATTTTGTTCCAAGCCAGAACTCCTTCTCAAGACAAATTCTTAAGCTACAGGACTAGACCACTGAATTATTTGCCTTTACTACCTAAGAAAAATAGTTACAGAATTTCACAATTACCTGTTAAGTATTTCTATTTATCAAAGTGCAATAAAACCCAGATCTGTATAATCTGGAACTTGCGGAAAAACAGAAGTGGGCCAGAGCTTTTTCATCTGTGCTATGTTATCTATTTCGACTTTGTCTGCATGGTATTGGCTCACTGGTGTAAAGCCTGCATACAAATCTATGCTGATATTGTAGCTTAACTGAAAAGCCCAGATCAAACGGAATCAATAACAAAGTTTTAATTAAGTAATTTTCATATCATATTTCACACAAACTCTCTAGTCAAGAGTTATAGCAGTGGCATCCAAGTTTGTTCATTCTTTAGAAGTTATGGTAATTATAAATTTGTCCCTTCTATTTCAAAAGTTCTCTGGTGGCTTGTATGAACAGCAAGCTCTCACCCCCAGTAAAATGGAAGTCCTGAACCCTCACAATTTTCTAGGTAGTTTTTATTTAAATAGATACTGTACTGTTTTATACAGTATGATAATGTTTCATTGCTCTGGCATCTGCTGTTGCTACTTTTATTAACTCTCTAGTTATCCAGAGCAGAGCAAGCTTTCATTTCAAAGTTAAAATAAATAGCTAAAAAGCTTTACAAAAGCTACCTGTCACCAAGGACAGACAAGATATAAACCCCATTCACCTACCTGCCAATCCTCTGCATGTCACTTCCAGTTTGAGCTTTGAGCAGACAAGAGATTCCCCAGTTTCTGTGTCATCGAACGCAGTTACTATTGGGTGTGGGTAAGATGCTCAGCTACTTCCCCTCAGTAAAAACAGATCCATCCATGAAATACCTAAAGTCCTGGGGCAGAGGGCCTATCTTTGCTCCTTCAGAAAACAGCCTTTTCTGAGAACACCACCACTTCCAGTGTATAAAAGGTACACGTCAACAGCAAGCCCTCTGCAGACACTCAGGCTCAATACCTACTTGTAATGTCAAAGACAATGACAGCCACAGCAGAGTCACGGATGTAGCTGGGAATGAGGCTGCGGAACCTCTCCTGGCCGGCTGTATCCCACAGCTGC